AACGTTCGGTTGGTTAATATACGCAGTGACCCCACTTGTAACATCTCTAATCGCGCCGTTTCGCCGCGATACAATTTTTACACGTCTTTCGAGTCGTCGTTGACGATCGAACGCACTGTATACGAGCCAGATCTGCATTTTAAATGTGAAATCCTGACATTCTGGGGGAAACCAGAGTTTATTAACACAAAAACCGTTCACATTTCTTGTTAATAATTTTAAATCAAATTACTCTTTCGGATCAAAAGTGAAGCGAGATCAGTTTGCTTATTTTTGTCGCATTTCTTCATTAAGTACAACAAACTGTAGGCGAAAAATTTACAGTTATGTCGCACGACGACGTGTAATACCGTGATCATTTATTTAATCACATTGTAATTACAATCCTCAAATGTAGATCAAGCGAATAATAACTGGATGATGTGTGTACGCATACGCTTTATACCTAATTAACGATTGATTATTATTACTGAGATAATTGTATAGGCATGTGTTGCATAATAAAGATAAAAGGAACAAATGATAAATGCTGTAGACATATAAATTTATGTAATAGAGGCATGTGGGCGGGGAACAATATGATATAAATTTATACCCATATATTAAAACCTCTTTAAAGAAAGTTACTTAATACTAAAGCGATTCAAACTATCTGATTACGATGTAAAACAAATTACAACCGATTTTGCTTTTATTCGTCGAAAGCCATTGTATCTCAAATCTACCAAACTGTAACTTGTCTCACTCTGTATTATAGTCCAATTAAATAAGCCATTAAATCGAAATTTTGGTCAACTTGCCTGAATTTTTGATATGAGTTAGTTTGAGGTATATTATAACAATAAGTGACAGTAATTTTTTGTTCAACCCCCCCGTCAAGGGTGAAAAAAGATAAAACAAAGGAGTTTTTCAAGATAACTCAAAAGACGCAAGGGTTAGAAAAAAAGTTTCTTATAAAAGTTGTAATGCATACAATTCTACATAAAAATGGCATCTTGACTTTTTCTTGTACTATTAAAATTAACAGTTAGGGAGGCTAGAAGTTAAGGGAAGATTTCAGCTTAAAAAAATTATAACAAGTAGAAAAACGAATGAATTTTGTATTTTTTTTCAATCTACTCTAAAAAAAAGTAAAGAGACACGTTTTTTTTATCGGCGGAAAAATATATTTACGGGGTGAAATACATCCTCAAAGTTCAGCTGCCAAAACAGTTTTTTCAAAATTTCTGAGGTTCTAACCAATATTTTAAAATGAAACAAAATGGAAATTACTTATGATAAAAAACAAATATTTCGCAAGTGATTCCGTGTTTGGGGGTTGCTACCCTTATTTTTTATTTCAGAAAAACTATATTTTTATTTATAAAAAAATCATATTTACTCAAAAAGACTTAAAAATATGATTTATGTAAACAAATTGACAAAATTAAATTGACCTGTTTCGGGGTTTTCGTTAAAATCTCTGTTTAGGAGGGTGAACAACAAATTTGAGATTGTTATAACTTTCTTATTAAAAATTAAAAAATATATCTATTTCTCTGAAAATAAAGGTTACATTTTTTAGAGTAGATCGAAAAAAAAATACAAAGTTTATTAATTTTTCTGCTTATGATTTTTTTAAATTTCTGAAATCTTCCCTTAACTTCTAGCCTTCCTAATTCTGCTAATTTTAATAATACAAGAAAAAGTCAAGAGGCCATTTTTATGTAGAATTGTATGCTTTACTTTTTTCTAGCCCTTACCCGTTTTGAGTTATCTTGAAAAACCCATTTGTTTTATCTTTTTTCACCCTTGGCCGGGGGTTGAACAAAAAATTACTATCACTTATTGTTATAACATACCTCAAACTAACTCATATCAAAAATTCAGGCAAGTTGACCAAAATTTCGATTTAAAGGCTTATTTAATTGGACTATCAAGAAGCATGCATGGCTTAAACATACTGTGTTTCACGGCTTCAACATGCATATGTATCTTTCTTGCCAGGTTCTGGGATTTTGGGGTTATGGCATTTTCAGGTTATGGGGTTTAAGGGATAGAGGGGTTAAGAGGTTATGGGACTATTGGGATTGAGTGGTCTTATTACGTTTTTGGACCAATTTTTTGAGGTTATGAAAAATCCTGGCGAACAGTCAGTGGTCGGAAATCTGAAAAAGCTGCTCAAAAGTCCAAAAAGGCTTGCATCATCACCAAAAGTGGGGACTCTTATGTTTTTCAGGTCGCTAAAACCGAATTTGCAGTAAAGTCTCAAATTCAAGATGGCTGATACAAAATGGCCGGTATATCACGTTAATTTATTGAATCTAACTGAAATTTCGAGTGCCTCTGATATTGAGGTCGCGTAAAACGTATGTAAGGTCAAAGTTTGAGGTTTTGGAGGTAATTAATAATCATTAATAAAGTACGAAAGGTAAATATCTGCGATATAAGGCAAGTATTTGGAATTAATTCCTCATTTCGAACGAAACAATTTCTAAATACTATTGAAGCTTCTTCTTGTTATAAAGCTTATTCTAATTATTTAGCTAATTCTAATACACATGAGTCATTTGCATCGTCATCATCTGTCACATAATGGTCTGAGCATGAAAACATTATCACCATAGCTTCGGTTGAAAAGCTTTTCTCATTTTCATCTATCTTGCACCTTTTAAAAAAATGTTGATATAAAAAGGTGATTTGCGTTTTAAAAATTGAAGAATTTATTTTTCGTGCACGTAATTTTACTGGTACCTGATCCTGTCGAAAATGATAAATTATGAATTGAAAGATCATAGATAATAAATTCATCTATAATTTTTTTTTTAAAAGCAAGCTTTTAGCGACTATTTTATTTTCGTATTGTCATCCAAACTAAACGTGTATGTAAAATTTCAGCTCAATCGGTTGGGGAAACTGTTTTAAAATTCAGTTGCAAGATTTGACCCATACTAACAAACAAGGCAAGTTAAATAAAAGCTTGTAAAAATATGATAAATGGCAAACGAAAAAGGTGTATGTTCATTAAAAAAAAAACAATTTGAATTAGAAAAGCTCGTTTGGAACGCGAAGAGACTCTAAAACGCTAGATATTGTACAACTAAGGCCTCTTACAATAGTAAACCAGCCATACACGGAGTCACAAAAAATGACTCGGAACCGAAATTTGGAAAAATCCGGTGGTTTTCTCTTTTGATATATGAAATTGACACTCCTGTCTGTATTTTCCAACTTTTAATAGTGCAGGATCTGTTGGGATCACAACTATTTCGATAATTTACAATTGATGTGATTTGATATCGATGGAAATTGCAAGACATTTTCGTTAAAACAATAAGAACATGCAACACCCTCTCTATTGCACACAACGATTCGTACTCTAGTAAAAATTTGCACAATTTTCAATTCACCGCTTTTCGAGAGGTCAGTGGCAAGTGAAATATGTTAATGTGTCGCAGCATACTTCCGATAGTTGCTGTGGTTTATACACATGGGCCAGCTCTCTTTCACTTTAAAGAACTATGCAGTACCTCCTTCTCTAGAATATTCTGATTAACGCAAACCAACGACTTTAAAATTTCGACTTTTGTGCAGCTTTTTCGGAATTCCGACCACTGTGTGACGTGATGAGGTTAAATGGACCCTGAATTTGGATTCAGCAACTCCGAAAACATAGGACAGACATAGTCAGACTGCAGGAGTAATTTTCTCAATTTTTTTTTTGTGGAACTGTTATAGAACAAGTGGATGCTGATTTTTCGAAAAAAAATCATCTTCAGTGATTTGGGGTTCAGAAAATTCACGAGTGATCGAGTCACAAATGCATCCACGTGTCACTGCTTGGTGCGGATTTTAGGCTGAACAATGAAAGCGAGTTGTTCTTTCGTGTAGCACTCACGCCGTTTTTTTTTTCGTTAGCAATAGGTACTTTTACCGCACAAATAACCTAAGCAGCCGATGGTGTACATTAAATATTTCTTTGTTGTTGTATATTTATGTCA